ATTTGTGGTTTCTATCCGAACAAACGAGCCCGATACTAGCAGTAATCCTCACGAGGAAACCTAACCTGAGTGGGATCCGGTACAACAGCGCAATAAAAATTTTTTAGAGCACTTAAAAAACTTCCCTCATTTTAGAACTGGCAAGAAGGATCGTCTTGCAATAATACGCTCAAATATGGCAAAGCTGCCAATCACCCCAACAATAAGCGGAAACGTTTCAACGTCTACCAAACCAAAAAAAAAACAAGAATTAAACGTACACCATCAAACAAGCCACGATTCATGTCCGTCTCTCCTATTTAATACAATGTCCCTTTCTTTTTAGCTTTCTGAACCATTTCCATCGTCTTATCAACATTACTGCGTCGTTGAACAACTAACATCTGTTTTACATCGACGAAAAACGTCTGATTATCTAACTTGATTAGCTTTACGCAGCGTATCACAATGACCGGAGATAACATGAGTTAAATTAAAAGGTTTTTCTTTCGGCCTTAGGTGGTGTTGAAGTGAAGGTTTGTAGGGTGAGTAGGCTCAAAAGTCAGACTCCGTTTAGTATTTTTATATGGTAATCCAAATATTTCATACGCACTTTGCTGTCCTTCCTCAGTGGGACCACTGGGAAAAATCAAACAAAAAGACAGGCTTACAATTGTGTACACTAAACACGCCGTAAACAAAATGGGGGTCGCCTTCACTTCTTGGTGAACAATTACATCGAAAAATTTTTTTAAAAAAGACATTGAAATTTCTGGTAACACATAATACATGAGATAAAGTTTTCCAAAACAAATTTATCCAAACAACATAATACACAAACCAAAAGGCGATTATTTAAACGAAATTACACCTCATTGAATTAACCATTCTAAATAAAATCAACAACTACTTCAAATTCGAATAACATGATGGAAATTGTGTTCAATCTAAATTAGAGACCAATATTTATCGTCAAAAATGAATGGAATTTAGCACATACAGTGTGACCCATCATTACTGTAGACGCAAATACCAAATAAAACGCATGATGTAGTTTACATAGCAATATATCTAATTATAGTCAAATCTTTTTAAAGATAACGGCTTCAATATGCCTCTAGATTTGTATC